AATTGGAGCCGTGATGTCACATGCAGATCGCAAATACTTTATTTTGCGTTTTTCGGTAAACTGGTGAGGAGCGCCTACACCTGCTACACCTGCCACACCTACTACGTGGCTAACTTTCTGCCTTCCAAACTTTCTTCTTGCCTTTTGTGAGATGTGTAGCTGACGCTGACAGCTCCTGACAGTCTCCTTGGACGATCGCCACAGTTCTGAACTTACTTTCCTTATCTGAACGCGGACGAGGTGCCTCCAGGAAGCTTAAAAACAACATTTAAAATGCACTCACAATAATGATGTTGTGATGTAAAGTACAAATAGATCAGGAACTACAGCGCTTGATGCTGTGTACACGAGGCCTCAATACTATGTTTAGAGCCCAACAGCTCCGGAATAACACTGAACCACATGTAACAGAGAGAGGTTTAGACACATACAGGTTCCGTATCAGGGTTCGCGTCCTGACCAGGAAAGATTGACTAGGAGTCAATTCCTAACTGTTCGCCTCTGCTTACCCAGCAGTAATTGGGTACCTGGTTGTTAGGCAATTGACCGGTCATGTTCCAAGGAAAACTAGAAGGGTAAGGCTATGAGCTATCGAAAGAGAAAGCTCTCAGGCTGCTAACTCCCCAGCTCTCAAGAGCTGGATCTTGAAGTTTGTAGCCTGAGAGCTTTCAGGCTGCTAGCTTCCTTCCCCAGCTCTTGAGAGCTGGGGAAGGCCCAGCCTCATCAACTGTGTTAGAGTTGAACTCACAAGTGTGAGTATGCGTGAGTAATGACAGACTAACCAGGGGAAGGATTTAAAAGGTTTCTTGATTACTATTAATATTCTAACACCGTAAGGTACGTGGACCAGTTAGGGTCCGGGGTGTGGACCGGTGTGGTCTATATAATGTGGACCACACCTATGGACCTATTATATGAACCTATAATGTGGTTCATGGCCAAGCTGAGCTGGTATGGACAGACAGGATTAATGAGACACTTTCATAATATTTTGGAACATACAAGAGAGAGAGAGAGAGAGAGAGAGATCTATATACTTACAACCAAGTTAAAGTAATATATTCTGTAAGACATTAGAGCTTCTGTAACCTGCCCTCGCCCCCCTGCGTGTGTCACGAACCCAGCTCTCCGTCCCCAGAGACCAGTAGGTCTGATGTATATATAGCCTTGATACACACATTGACATGCAGAGTGATCCACAATGAAATTGGAAGTAGTAGCGAGCGCTTATAAATCATACCATAAAACCCTTTACGACACAGAGCCCAGATCCCAGACGCATTGAGAAGGAGCAAAGTTCGCCACGATGGGGTTCAGGGGGAACAGGGTGTGGCACAAAGAAGTGTTGCTGAATATAGGATTCAATACACGAATAAAATTTATAATTGGGAAATAAGGCCTTAAAATTTCTGTACATATCAGTACTTCAGAGGAGAGATATGTAAGACACAAGTACTTCTTAGTTCACTGGTAAATGCCATTTACAGAAATATAAATATATATTTCAGAAGGTGAAATGTAATTAGCGGGACACTGGATATTTAACAACCCTCTCACTATCAACACTCTCCTGTCTTATCTCGTGGTGTAAAGATCTGACTACGACAACAACAGGTCAGTTGAACATTGTGTTAAGGCAATGTGTATATCATTAAATATACCAGTCTAAAGACAGCCACCCTGCCACAGTGAGCAGAGGCAGCCACCCTGCCACAGTGAGCAGAGGCAGCCACCCTGCCACAGTGAGCAGAGGCAGCCACCCTGCCACAGTGAGCAGAGGCAGCCACCCTGCCACAGTGAGCAGAGGCAGCCACCCTGCCTGCCACAGTCAGCAGAGGCAGCCACCCTGCCTGCCACAGTCAGCAGAGGCAGCCACCCTGCCTGCCACAGTCAGCAGAGGCAGCCACCCTGCCACAGGGAGCAGAGGCAGCCACCCTGCCACAGTCAGCAGAGGCAGCCACCCTGCCACAGTCAGCAGAGGCAGCCACCCTGCCACAGGGAGCAGAGGAAGCCACTCTGCCACAGGGAGCAGAGGAAGCCACTCTGCCACAGGGAGCAGAGGAAGCCACTCTGCCACAGTCAGCAGAGGCAGCCACCCTGCCACAGTCAGCAGAAGCAGCCACCCTGCCACAGTCAGCAGAAGCAGCCACCCTGCCACAGTCAGCAGAGGCAGCCACCCTGCCACAGTCAGCAGAAGCAGCCACCCTGCCTGCCACAGTCAGCAGAAGCAGCCACCCTGCCTGCCACAGTCAGCAGAAGCAGCCACCCTGCCACAGTCAGCAGAGGCAGCCGCCCTGCCACAGTCAGCAGAAGCAGCCACCCTGCCAGTCAGCAGAGGCAGCCACCCTGCCACAGTCAGCAGAAGCAGCCACCCTGCCTGCCACAGTCAGCAGAGGCAGCCACCCTGCCACAGTCAGCAGAAGCAGCCACCCTGCCAGTCAGCAGAGGCAGCCACCCTGCCACAGTCAGCAGAAGCAGCCACCCTGCCTGCCACAGTCAGCAGAGGCAGCCACCCTGCCTGCCACAGTCAGCAGAGGCAGCCACCCTGCCACAGTCAGCAGAAGCAGCCACCCTGCCTGCCACAGTCAGCAGAGGCAGCCACCCTGCCACAGTCAGCAGAAGCAGCCACCCTGCCAGTCAGCAGAGGCAGCCACCCTGCCACAGTCAGCAGAAGCAGCCACCCTGCCAGTCAGCAGAGGCAGCCACCCTGCCACAGTCAGCAGAAGCAGCCACCCTGCCACAGTCAGCAGAAGCAGCCACCCTGCCACAGTCAGCAGAAGCAGCCACCCTGCCACAGTCAGCAGAAGCAGCCACCCTGCCACAGTCAGCAGAAGCAGCCACCCTGCCACAGTCAGCAGAAGCAGCCACCCTGCCACAGGGAGCAGAAGCAGCCACCCTGCCACAGGGAGCAGAAGCAGCCACCCTGCCACAGTCAGCAGAAGCAGCCACCCTGCCACAGTCAGCAGAAGCAGCCACCCTGCCACAGTCAGCAGAGGCAGCCACCCTGCCACAGAACAGAAGCACAGGGCCTCCACAACGCCTCAACACATTACTTTAACACCGACACAACGCTCTCGTTACTAAGGCGTGGTGGAGTCGGTCACGGGAGACGCAGATGAAGTTCAACGCCCTGAACCCTCAGGCTCTAGCTCCCGGCCCGGCCTGCCGAGGAGAGAGAGAGAGGAGAGATGCAGTATTGCAAGTCTCTCTCTCTCTTGTATTTTGGGACTTCTCTTGTAACACTTTATGTGCTAAAGTGAGATTAAATGTAAAGTTATATTTAAATGAAAAAATATATTTGCTTAGGGTTCCTTTCTCTCTATATATTTATATATTTGACTGATTACTAAGTATTTAATAGCGCGCTCGCACACACACACACACACACACACACACACACACACACACACAAGAAAAAGAGCATAGAAGGCAGACTGAATATTTCTCTACTGACAGAAAGCATATGATACGACCCACACGAAAGACTCTTGCTCAAAAATGAAAAGCAGACTGTGGATCTGGAAGAGTCCTAAGGTGGGGCAGAGAGTAACTCCCAGGAAGGAAACAAAAGGTTACAGATAGAGACATCAGAGTGGAGAGAGGCTACGAGTGGAGTACCACAAGGGCCGGTTCTAGGAGCCCATAATGTTTCTAAAATATGTCAACAACCTGATACACGGAATTGGCTACTTCATATCAATGTTTGCAGATGATGCAAAACTGTCGAGAAGATTCAGGACAAAGATAGATTGGGATGCATTGCAAACAGACTTGGACACACTCTACATCTGCTGTACTTTTGTTGCTTGTTTGTGTGGTAATTGTGCGAGTGTTGAGCAGAGGCAGCCACCCTACCACAGTCAGCAGAATAATTAATAAATTCATTAATAAAGTATTTCGATTATTGTGCATGAACATATGTTGACCTGTGCAATCACATGTTGTTCCTGAGCCCTACTTCTGCTCACCGAAGTGATTAGGAAGCTGAGTTAATTGACGGGTTGTCTGGACAAGTGTTAAATCAGGTGTTGTTTCCCAATCGATCAGATAGATGTTGTATGTTTTTCTGATGTTATTAGATGTAACCGACACCAGTCTCCAGTCATCGAGCCCTTGTTTATTAGCCAGTGAATTATTGAATAAACTTACATTCATTGTTACTCTTGTGATTTCTTGAAATCCAACTCCTAACAAACTGCTACTCGCTCTTGGAAACTCTTACGTCTGCCACTCGCTCTCTTAGTTCAAGCCATTAGTGACAATAATTTATAAATGTGATAAGGACCTTAGAGACCCATATTGCTCAATTTGTATTACAAGGATTCTCACGTCCAATGTGAATCATGAACCGTTAAACACCAGTCTGAGAGAATGACCCACACGGAGGTCCCGCTCGACCAATGTAGCCAAGACTTATACCACTGCTCCAGTAGTTACTGATTCCCTATAACTTTTAGCGAACCGTCAGCCTTATGCAAAGGACGATATTGCTCGCAATTGCAGTCAGGAAAAAGTAGCACCCCCTCGATCACTACCCATCACCATAACATTACCTACAATCACACACCACCATCACTACCCACCACCATACACCATCACTACCCACCACCATACACCATCACTATGCAACACCATTATTACCCCACAACTATGCATCATGTGGAGATTTCTAACCAACATTGTAAACAATAGTCAGTGACGTTAGTCCTACACGACCAGCTGTAGTGAGTCAATTGGACGTGAGTTTGAAGGCCTTGTGGCAGACCGCATTGTCCCTACACAAAGCAATTTTAAAAATAGATTGTAATTGGATGATTCAATATATCCAATATGAGCAATGCAGTAGTTGTGATGGCCAATCATTGAATCCAAGGACCCCTAACCTTCTTTTTATGGTTTACAGATGTGCTACTGAAACCTTCAGTTTAATGTTGTCATCACATCTTGTTCGTAAACAATTTGGTAAACTATGCGATTATATTTCATCAAAATTTGAGTATTTATGTTTTGTTTACAGCATATTTACAGCGACTTGACGTGTCCATTGTCGTGGAGCTCTGGCGTCGTGGAGCTCTGGCGTCGTGGAGCTCTGGCGTCGTGGAGCTCTGGCGTCGTGGAGCTCTGGCGTCGTGGAGCTCTGGCGTCGTGGAACTCTGGCGTCGTGGAACTCTGGCGTCGTGGAGCTCTGGCGTCGTGGAACTCTGGCGTCGTGGAACTCTGGCGTCGTGGAGCTCTGGCGTCGTGGAACTCTGGCGTCGTGGAGCTCTGGCGTCGTGGAGCTCTGGCGTCGTGGAACTCTGGCGTCGTGGAGCTCTGGCGTCGTGGAACTCTGGCGTCGTGGAGCTCTGGCGTCGTGGAGCTCTGGCGTCGTGGAGCTCTGGCGTCGTGGAGCTCTGGCGTCGTGGAACTATGGCGTCGTGGAGCTCTGGCGTCGTGGAGCTCTGGCGTCGTGGAACTCTGGCGTCGTGGAGCTCTGGCGTCGTGGAGCTCTGGCGTCGTGGAGCTCTGGCGTCGTGGAACTCTGGCGTCGTGGAGCTCTGGCGTCGTGGAGCTCTGGCGTCGTGGAGCTCTGGCGTGTGGTCAGCTCTGGCGTCGTGGACCTCTGGCGTCGAGGAGCGATTGTTGACCTCTGGCGTCGAGGAGCTCTGGCGTCGTGGAGCTCTGGCGTCGTGGAACTCTGGCGTCGTGGAACTCTGGCGTCGTGGAACTCTGGCGTCGTGGAACTCTATGCGTCGTGGAACTCTGGCGTCGTGGAACTCTGGCGTCGTGGAACTCTGGCGTCGTGGAACTCTGGCGTCGTGGAACTCTGGCGTCGTCGTCCT